GAATTTTAGCGTAATAAATACTGAAGCTTACCGCTGAAGCACCAGAAGACATAATTCCAATAGAGTGATTATTCCCTGATTTCTATTGAGGATATTTAGCACTCATACGAGAGTTAATGAAATAATTATGACTTCTTTTCCCGTTAAAATTTGCATATTATTGTTTAATGATAATATTTAGATTTATTATTTAATAATACTCGACAGTTACCATAAATTTTAATTAAAAAAAAACAACACGAGACTGGTCTTATAATAAATACTGAACTCGTATTTTTCTCCTTGACATCAGACTTGAACAGTTGCTAATAAATTGGTTTGTTGCACGAAGTTGTTAATGAAATATTGACCTTTTGTTAAATGAAAAATATTTCCTACATTAAAACAAAATTGATCCACAGCACTGCGGTTTCTATCCTTTTTCAGGAGCAATGTATACATTTCCCGATATATGGCTAAGTTTGACGAAGGGCACATGCCCGAAACGTAGCTAAAAACTTTCAAAAAACAAAGTCTTTGACCAGATGTGTGGTTTCTTAGCCTTACTGTTAATTTAAATATTTTTCTTTGTTCAAGCTGTGTACGGTTGGCATTGTTTTGTTGCGTGGTTCAGTAACATCCTATATATAATAATATATTGATTAATAAGTAATAGATGTAATATTACGTCACAATAAGATTTACAGAATTTCTTAGGCCGGGCGTGGCAAAGCGGTGAGCATGTCAGGCTGTGAATCGAAGGGTTCAGTTTGTATCCCGGTGGGACAGTGGTAAGTCTACAGACTTACAACACTAAAAACCGGGGTTCGATTCACAGCGGTGGACACAGCAGATAACCAACCGTGGCTTTGTTCTAAAGGAACTAAAACAATCTAATCCCTCTATTCGATTACATTAGATCATGAGTTGGCAGTGAGTGCTATTAACTAGCTGGTGTCCTCTAGTATATTAGGTCAAAACTACGGGCAGCTAACGTAGATAGCCCTCATGTAGCTTTGCTCGAATTTACGAAACAAAGACTATTTCCAGATACGAAGTGCTGACTAAAGTACATTATTTGTATTAATATTATTATTATATTATTTGATAAAAAAAATAAAGGAATTTCAACTTCAGGGAAAGACTACTGATGTTTGTGAAGTTGAAAATCGTCTGTTTTTATCAAGTGACATTAATAGTTATTTTAATAACACTATTATTTATTGGGTCGGTACGTGTTCCCCAAATCACACTTTATTTGCCGTAGAGTGAAACTTTTTAAATTTTCTGCTTAATAAAATGTTTAAAACAATATTCTAAATCACATAGCATCTTATGTCCTAAAAGTTAGACCGAACTGAATTTTACTTTATGAAGTAATAAACAATGATCTGTACAATTTTGAATTTTCTTGAAAATATACAGCTGATGTAATTCAACTGTTCACACTCGATAATCAGGTACGTTCTCAAAATATTGAAAGATTGTGTTGAGGTATATCAGGAGAAAAGTTGACATGGCTCTGTATTGAATGTCATACTTCCAGCGAGATCAAATCTTTAAACTGACACTGGCCAACAATTCCATCCTTCTGAGCCTAGATAATTTCTTATTAGAAAAAGAAAGTCGATTAATCATAAGAATAATGAAGTTCTGTTCATGTTTCGTACTGTAGGCTGTTCTTAGGTGAACCAAGCCATGATACGTGGGTTTCACCTCCTGTGGGTCATGGTCCTCGCGACCTTCCTGTCGGTAAGTAAAATCCTCTTATGATTCATTGAAAATGTATATTGAAAAGACAATTAAGTTATGTATTCCTGCAGAATTCATTTGTTCTTAAACTACCTAAAGAGGTGTGGATTTCCTCCCTTCTAATTGTAACCCAGACAATAAATGACTCTACGCCAACACCCTTGTCACATTTTTAATTATCAAATATATTCTTTGATAAGTTGTCAGAAATAACTCATGAATAAAAAACACGTAATATATGAATAAGGTAACTATCCTAAAAACACTTAGTATACTAATTATATAGTATACTTGAAGTGACTTATTTTTTTGTTATTGACTTACTGTCCTTGTAACAGATGATGACGTATATGTGAAATATGGTGGGAGAAGCCGTAATTAAGGATTTTTGTATTAATACAACTATACAAATGAATATTAGATAAACGAAACAGAAAAGATAAATAGATTAATACTTTTATTTTTATGTTAATCGTAATAAAGTAAAGCCAAATAAAGGATAACTAATTATATTTTCTTCTTTCCGGGTAAAAACTACTATAACAATACCGATTTAAACAATTAGCTGTTTCTTCCTCAAACTTACATATAGTTAGTTAGATATTTTACAAATATTATAAAAGAAATAAAACAATATAATATTATAGATTTTTAACTTGGAAAATTGACTTATAACACTACAGATCCGGGACTATTGTTTAAGACTTAACCAATACTGGTCCTCCCTTAAAGCTCTAAACTAAGCTCTTACTTTATGAAGATCTAATCCACATTTTCTCTTAATTGTCGGTGCTTTTTAAGCTGTCCTACCACTTGCTTAGCGTATCTACCTGTTCTAAGTGACTTATTATATAAGAAAGTCTCCTTTATGTTTCAATACTACGTAACACAACTTTCTTCGTCCTATAGAAGAACTCACAAATAAGATATACAGAATAAAATAAACAAGCACGCATAATACTCTCGAGATGGCGTTATTTCGAAACTTTCTATTTTCTGGAAAATCTTGCGAAAATACCTGATTTCATTTCGACAATACATAGCTGAGAAGAGGTAGAACGTAGGGGGCAACTTACATAATAGAGTTGGAGATCGTTTTATTTTTACTTAGGCCTAAGATTTGATAGTTTATAACTTGTATGCGCGATACTTAACAGTTGTTTATTTTTTGTTTCAGTATTATTACACAGACCTTAAAACTTACTTTTCTTCTAGATATTTTATGTTTCGTCCACTTGATATTTTGATTTAGTTATTAATTAATTAGATACATTGGAAGATACACCGACCGACTCCTAATTTGATAACCCATGAAGAATCTCGCAGTAAAGTAATTATATCAGTAAAATGATTAACAAACAGTTGGATAGCTGGATATAAAATTGATTTTTTTTTTGCTATCAAATGATTATAAATACATATGAGTTATTAATGAAATTTACTTGATCATTGTATGCATGTTAACTAACTTGAGAACGAAAGCATGACAGACAATCCTTATGCAGTTCAGCTCACATATTAAGTAGCTTATTTGTTATCCAACATTTACGTGCTTTGATCATGATGATCGCTAATTTATCGGTCTGTCATACTAACCTATATATGAGGATAATCATTTAAATATAACGTGAAAGCCAACACACTTCGTAATATTAATGTAAAATGGGAGAGTATGTATATATGGGTTATTATCCTAGTTGGCTCCATTCAGTGTCAAGGTTGACATTCTGTAGTCCGGAAATAGACGGGCTGTTCACTCGTGTGTAATTCGACTCAATTCTGAAAAGTTTTGTATCCCCGCATCCGTAACGTCCGGAAAGGTTTAAGCCAAACAAACGTCACAGTTTGACTATATTTTACTAACAGAGGAATTCCAAATTTACAGCAAGTTGAAAACCGACCTAATTTTACAGGTCAGTGTTAAAAACCCGATAGTTTTTTGAAAAGGTTAACAACCTTTCTATTTTAAAGTTCAGGAATCAAACAGTTTATTGATCTTCAGAATGCAGTGTGTAATGAATAGGCCTTATTGGACAGTAATGCATTTACAGTTTCCTTATTTATATTGTATAAAATCAACTTCCCAAGAATTCATTAAAATAAAACAAACCATACAGATTTCGCTGAACTACGAGAAATGTAAATATTGAAACCCTTTCAAGAGGGAATGATTATTAATTCCGTATACCGTCGGGATCAATGAATCTGATAAGCTCTGCAGCGAAGCTCACGAAGCCTAATTAAAGTAAGCACTGAGAAGCAATATATCATGAAACACAATTAAAACGGTCCACCAAGTAATTTGGTATGACATTCTCATAAATTAATATAAGGCTTTGACTTTTATCTACATACATTTGAACTTAATAGTGTCACAAAATAAGCTGAATATCTCGAAAAAAAGTTTTAAAATTATTCAGTGATTTATCATCGTCCAAGAAATTTAGCAGAAGGAAAAGTTAATTATATTACATAATGAATCGCTTTGTCGTGGAAATATTGAGTTATGTTTCGACATGCTGTTGCAATAACTTACCTATTGAGACAACATTATGGTGTAAAGGAAGAATAATGTTACAACTAACCTTTATAAAACTAATGAATATATATATATATATATATATATATATAACTGCTATGGTTAGTTTGAACTAATTGAAAAATGGAAGCAAGTTAGATTGTAACGACTTAAATTTAAAGTTAAACATAATGTACACAAACTGAAGATAAAGTTATGTAGCTATATTTACTTGTTTTGAATACAAAGTTAATTGTTAGGCTGATTTTTTTCATACTGTATTATATTTAAACCCCTTAAAATATTTAGTACATAACTGTGAAATTTATAAGCTAATTAATTTAGATATGTTACTGTTTTTTTTAAATAAAAATCACATACCTTAGATATGCTATTTTAAAATTCTCACGTAAAGGAGTCACTAGTGAATTTCACGAAATATTTTTGTTGATTTAATTTCAAAGAACCACTTCAACACTAGTCCTAATGATTTTCATAGGAGAGTCAATAAAATTGTCTTCAAACTAAACTAAAGAAAAAATATTTAGTTTTAAAATTTGTTTTCATCTCAGAACAAAAAACAAAAACAAAGATAGATTTTGGTATTTTATTCATTAACAGTTTTCTTACTGAAAGATTCCTTAGGAATATAAGAAAAAGTATAGATTTATAATTTCTGTAGTCTAACAATGCGGGGATTCACTTAAGAGCAGAATAAACCTTTCTAGACCTAACTTAAAATTTAAAATGATATATTTGAAACATATATTGATTAACAATTTCTTCACAAAAAGTTCTTTTAGGAGCGTAAAACATCTTTTTTTAAGCAAGTAATATTTGGGATTTCTGTTAGCTGAGAATTTTCTATTAGGAGTTTAATTTGAAGCAAGTAAAAACCTTTTTACATTGAACTAGAATAAAGAAGTAGTAGTTACCCCAGCTCTTCCACCTCCAAAGGATGCCGCCTCACACTGATTGGCTGCCTCAGGGGAGAGAGGGGTGTGTGTGTAATGACGTCACCAAAGACGATGACATCATAGTTCCACAAACTGCCAGAAGAGAGCGTGTTGTTAGGGTGGCCAGATGTCATAGTTCCATTGAACCTGCATAAAATGTCTCCATATGAATATAATTAATCGGTATTAAATACTAATTCATTAGTTAATTATATTTTCCTAACCATTTCAATCGTCCTAAAAATACGCTTATCATCAGATTATTAATTACATTTCCTGACCTAAAAGGATGATATCACGAAATAATTACAAATTATTGTTTGATGTCTCAGCATAACTATATTTAATCATTTTAAATCATTAGTTAATTACATGTCCTAACCACTTAAATCATCCTAAAAGGGATGTTTATCAATAATTTATTAATTACATTTCCTGAACACTGATATATCCTAAAAAGGACGATATGAAATAATAAAACTTACACTTTCACTAGTTTGACTTTATTCTATAACTTGACAAAATAATTCATTTACATATGTTTTACAAAGGTGAATGGTGTGCTACATATACACCATGTTACTAAAACAAATTGTTTTTCAATTTGTCTCAACATGCGTCATCAATAAAACGTTTATTAAATATTACGCAATAAATAAACTTACACTTTTACTAATTTGACTTGATAACTTGACAAAATTATTTTAGTATACAGATAATACTTTATAGTTTTATCTTACACGAGTTTTTCAAAAGTGGAGGTGCAAGAGATGGGGTAACTACTAGAAGATTTATTTTTTATTTTCTTGTATTACTACTTTTTCTACTAGATGTTCACAAACGTACTAGTACACATTTATGGCGACAGGAAAAGTTAAAGTTCTCTGTGCATTGACCAAGAAATAAAAGTTTTTATTTTGAAATTAATTTCCATGAGAAAATCCCCTAAGAATCGTCTGTAACGAAGCAAATGTGTGACTCTTCAATATAAGTAATTATTGTAATAGTATCTATAAATACTAGAATATACATATGTTATTAATATACCTATATAAATAATATATAGTTATATTTCAAGTAAATGTAAAGACCCCAAAATCATTTAAAACTTATTAATAAAATAAGAATCTGATGTAAACAAGTTTTTAGTCTAACGACAACAGTGGACAAAGAAATAACCTATTCATGTTAAGTGAGATCTAATTTTAAGCTTACAATTAGACCTACAGTCAAATTATAATGTAAAATTAGTCAGTATAGTTAATTTCAAAATTATTTTCTAGCAGAACCTAATTAAATTTACTAATAATAACATTATAAATTTAAATTCAAGTATGAAAGTTCATAAAGCTGCATAGTAATTAAATTACCTAATCATTAGTTGGGTACTCTTGCAAATAGTCTACTTATCAGATTAAGGCTAGGCCTAAATTAATATTCTAAGCACCAGTGTTAAACCAGAAAGTTTACAACGTTATAAATGAAATACAACGCGAAAGCCTAATTGAAAATATAGACTTAATACGGTTTTCCTTTTGAATACTGTAAATTCTTATATTCTTATTTGAATTATTCACAAGCTGTTATAATATAATAATGATAAATAAAATACAATAAATAAAACAGATAAAACAGCGATAAATAAAATAACATTTACACATATTACAACACTTTAAGAGTAATATTAACTTCTGGCCAAAGTAAATTTAGTAGTTATAAGTCATTCTTATAATTAAACATTCATATGTTAACGCAAATACTTCCTACGATTTTGCGAAATATAAAATCCTCTAAGAACTGAATACGGAAAAGCTTAATGGATATATTGAAATGGAACGGAACGAAATAATTACATATAAACACATACTTACGTACTTACATTCTGTAAAGAAACAAAGAAATGTAATATGGGCAATATGAAACCTCCAGTTGCTTTTCAAAGTGTAATCCTTTACAGACTGAGCCGGATATTAAAGGAATTATTTCTTATTTCCATTAATTCCTTCTCTGTTGAGAGCTCACTTTGAGAACACTTTTGTATACACTTCCTAAGTGTATGAAAAGGAACAAGTATAAGATAAATCTTCACAACATTCCCAATATACACCTTCTTTTGGTACAAACATAAAGACATATAAAAACAAATTTGTTTCTGAACCCAATAGAAACAATACAATATACACTGATTAATCATTTAGTTAGGAGCACCTCACGGAAACGTTTACATTATTATGTTTTATAAAGTATAGGTATCAATGGAAATAACGCTAAAATATTGAAACATTAATTTATTTTCCAAACGGAAAGTCAAGTTGGCACCACATATAAGCTAGATCTTTCTTATCGGGGAACGCGATAGTTAACATGGTTAGGGTTTTAGATTTTCATCTCTCTTCTGTCTTTACTAACTCAAAAGCTGTATTGAGCGTAAAAACGTGAAATTCACGGAATTCAGTTTTGTATTAAGCAGAAGCACGTTGAGACACAATATAAAGAATTATTTCTATATGAATAAATTCTGCCGTTTTTCAGTCAAATGTTTATTCATTTCTATATGTTTACACATTGAACGTACTGATCAAAGTAGTTTTTAAACGAATGTTTTCTTGTTTTATCTAAAGCATTGAATAAAATTATAACAAAACCTACCTGTGGTTACAATTTTTTTGTTTCAGTTTTTAAAATCAATGCTGTTGTCATAACAAACACGTTCAAAGTGTTTACCGCTCTAACTAAGTTTCAGTTGATGAGGCTAAATAGAAGTTGTATAACTTCTCAGTTTGTTTAAATTTTATGTGTGTGTGTGTGTGTGTGTGTAGGAGGTTATCTGGTTGTTTCGTTTTCTTTCGACTAGATAAGGTAAAATTATTATTACTAGTTATTCTTCTAAGTGTAATATAATTTTTTTATCAATAATAATTTAAAATGTTTAAAATCTATTCTAGTGGTGTTAAAATTTTAAACTAGCTTTCAGTATACACATTTTATTGCAAAAACAATCATCTGTGCAAAAAATTAATTATAATTTTAAATTACCAATACCTTATATTTTTAGTTTCAAAAGTTTACAAATTTTGTTTCATTTGTGGCTATTATTTCAGTACTCGCAGTGTATAGAAAACGCCCAAACGATGAAAGTGACTCGAAAATCAAATGTTACTGTTTTGCCAAGAAATGATACTGGGAGAGTAGTTGACGTAGGCAATTTATTAAGATCAAATGTGTCACAAGAGGGCACTGCATATTTGTTGGAACAAATAAACGCTACAAGAAACATAGACAATTTCCAGCGACAACCTTTAAGAAGATTTGATGATGTCCGAGACAGATGGCTGGGAAATGGCCCGAGACCTGATGTGTTTAGGCCTCCATTAATACCACCCGGGATCCCTCCTCCCCCTCCTCCTCCTCCTGTAGACTTTGATAGAGATGTTCATCGTCCTGAATTTACTGGGTTTGTTGTACCTAGGGACATGGTTAGGGTGGAACGTAAGTATAGTTCACATGATTTATTTATTTTTTACATTTATTACACAATTTAAAGCATGCATGTAACAATGTTGACAGTCACAATTATGATGGAAACATAATTAATCCCCATTTCATAACTTAATATGTTTTAATTTTTAAACAAGGACAACACCATATAAAAAGCCGACACAAAAATACATAAGTTATAGAACAACTGAAAACTTTTTGAACGTCTCCCTTTTACCTGCTTCCTCCACTTACGTATATATCAGTCATCAGCTCTAAAGTAATGCATAAAATTGTAAAGGAGTATTTCAAGCGATTTCCCATAATTCCTCAATTGAATAATATTTTCGTCATTATTATACCCGTCCCTTTGATCAGCAGGATCCATTTCCATCCTCAGATTTAACGAGAAACGTTTGTTTGTAACTTAAAAGCTAATACTGAAGTTACTGTTACTGAACATCAGTGTGTGTACCTGTTCTCTGAAGTTCTATGAAGTGTAAATGTGCACATTTTTTTGAGTTAATGTCTTAATTGAAGGTGAATAGTTTGTAAACAGAGGGGAACATCAACACATTATTAGAACCTCCCTAAACATTTTTAGGGCTACTATAGCAGGAGTTGTTTACTAAATACCGTTTTTTTCGACGGCCTGTTCAAATACATTGTCCCCCTGGTGGGGCAGAGGTAAGTCTATGGACTTACAACGCTAAAATTCAGGGTTCGATTTCCTGCGGTGGACATAGAAACAAACGAACAAATCAAAGAGATTTGTCATCTTGGGTCTTTAAAACGCAACAGGTATTATACTCGTATCTCATTTCACCAATACTTTCAAAAGAAGTCAGTTTTCTACAAATTACAACCAGATCATAAGGATAGTGCAACAAAACTGTCATGTAACAACTAACAACTAATCCAAAAACACTCATCTCAGATAATAAGAAAGTATGGATTTAGCGATACCCGGAGGGCACATTTTTGGACGAAAGATAACTAAGATCTGGTTTGATAAGATGCGTGTCACCCTTTTCTGTACTAACTAAAAATAAAATATGGAGAAATCCACATGAAGCACTTGAAAGTGAAACTACTGGAGATGGTATAATTGTGTGGAAAGTTTCCATGGCAGGGGTTGGGTCTATTGGTTTCTTTTAAAAGGTAAATAACATGAATGTGGTTGCTGATGATGTTCACTTTAAAATTAAGCACTTCAATCCTTCATCTCGGTTTATGCATGTTGTTTCATGAGAGTCTTTTGAAACTTTATATTTCTCAACTGTTGACAGCTGATTCAGTGGTTCCTTATTCTGCTGTTGTTTTGTGTTGCAATTTTAATGATTGTACATCGAACGTTTACAACGTATATATATACACACATTGATGTTGAGTTTCTCCAATCAAGGAAACTTTTCTTAAGCACAAGAATTTAATGAATATATACATTAAGCTAAGCCTCCAATTAGATATTTAAGTTTGTTATAAAGGTTAAATAATATAATTGATTGAAAGAGCTTACGTGAAATGGAAAGAAAATTCGAAACTTACAAGTTACAGTAATACAATCACGTGAATCAATCAATTAAATACACTATCTATACAAGGCCGTGAACTCAATAGCTTCCGCCGACGGAAGTTGTTGTTGCAGTAATTTTTAGCTGGTTGGTATTTACGAGGCGAGTTGCTAGCCTCGCGCCCAACCCCCCTCCTTTTTCATCCTGGACTTAGGACCAGGCAAAGGAGGTGGTATCCCTACCGGGCAACGAACGCGGTACCTTTGGATTAGAAATCCAACGCGCTATCCACTGCGCTATAGGGAAACCAAAAGTCAGGCGTAGTAATCTATAATATAGAACTACTGACCAGAGAAAGGCCACCCAGCTAGCAGCATCCGCCGCTTCCACGACTACTCTTGATCAAATATCAGAATGGACTGTCATGGTTATAACGCCTCCAAAATTGAAAGTGAAACATGTTCAGTAGCATGTTGTGGCTCGAACCTTGGACATATCAAAACTCAGCCGGCACATTAACCACTAGGAAAGTAAGACACATATACATATATCGTGTCATGATGAAACGCCATCGTAAGTTCGTAGTCTGTAAAAATAATTTTTGATATTATAAATGTTTAGTGTTGTTGAGTGCCCTTAGTGTATATATTTATATGTATTTATTTACTCTTTTATTCTAATATTTGATTTCATGCTACTGAGTGGTGAGTTTCCCTAAATCTGTCTCCTACAGACATTACAGCAGACTGCCAAGATAATTACATGAGGATTACCATCCGGTTTAACGGCAGCTTCACTGGTTTGATCTACAGCACGGGCTATGTACATGATCTGGACTGTATCTATGTTAATGGCACAGGTCGAAGTCAGTATGAATTCTATATTCGTCAAAACAGATGTGGAACGCAAGGAAGGCGTAAAGAAGACTTTGACCCCAGAACCCCGGTGGTGAGACCGGTAAGATCCATCAGGATGTTACTATAGCAACCAAGTATGATATCTTGGGTCGATGTTACCATGGTAACAAAGTGTGATAGCTTAGGTTTATGTAGAATATCAGGTAAAGAAATTTCTAACTATTTATGGAAGAATTAAACAGATAAGTTTATTTAGCATTCCTTGTTTAAAGTCGGTGTTATATGAATTCACAAAATACGGATATACGCTAAGGTAACAACTACAGGTGACTTTAACATACTTACAAGTTTCGTTATTTTTGTAGCGACACAACGAATACTTGCTAAATACTGTTACCGTACAGTACAGCCCCATCATCGAAGAAGAATGGGATGAACATTTCCGTGTTACCTGCGAGCACGGGCACGATTTTTGGAAGACAGTCACTTTTCCAGTCATCAACGTGGAGTAAGTATACTTTGAGGGTACATGTTGCGTGACATCATTCGTGTCGTTAAGAGGCCTAGTATGGTTCCAGTAGTTGAAAAGAATCATGTTCTTCTTCAAGACTTATTTACGTTTACGTCAATTCGGTTAATTTTTCAGTCAAACAATTATGTATAAATGAGTTACACAATTTCTTATTGAAATGTCTATAGGTTTACCTATTTCAAAGTAAAAAAGCTTCTATCAGAAGTGCATTGAACTATTATATGTAATCATGATGTAGATTAACAATACTCATACTTAACCGTTTTGGAAAACACGTGTGAAGAAAAAAGTTTCATAAGAATTTGTATAATAGTAATAGACCGATTTCCAGCACGAGTCGTAAGCGAGCGATTTTTATACGCGTAAATAATTACTGTAGTTGTTTATTGTTTTTTTTTGTCATTAATTGGATATCTAGAATATTTTCATTATTAGTTTTTCATGTATTGTGTGTTAGCATAAGAATTATTGATGAAAACACCCAGGCATCTATTCGTTCATGTATGGGAAAAGCTCCTCCTATTTCGCAATGCAGAAGCTTCCTGGTAATGATCAGAAATTCCCGGATGTAAAGCGTTACACACAGACGAACTCGACTGCGGAAGGACTTTTTATTTCACATCCTATTAAAAAGGAATAATTGCCATATACGTATATATATATATATATTCATATTTATAGGTGACACTATTATTTGATTCATGAAAAACAAAAATTATACATTCTTAACACTGCTTTTTAAATAACGTGATTATTTAATTTCATTCACTTTTACTTTCTTTTTTAAGTTGTATACTCTAAAAGCTATTTCAATTCGTTCTATTGATTTGATAGGGTCAATACGGGGAACCCCGTAGTTTTTTCATTGAAGCCTCCCAAGTGTTACATGGAGATACTGCTAGGGTGGACAATTTCTGGAAGACGAATTTCAGGACCCGTGACCGTCGGTGACCCTTTAACGTTGGTCATTTACATGAAGAGTGAAAACAGCTAAGTTCTACATGTTATATAACATAGGAGAGGGCTAAATTTTAAACCACATAAACAAAGAGTTTAGTAAAACGTAATTTTAAGAGTTTAAAGTCTCCGGTCACTCAGCCGTAAGCTTATAACGCTTTTTCACTTAATTACAAAATAAATAAGTTAGACAAGTGAATATTTATAATTACACAATTAGAAATAAGTTTTACCATAACATGGCTTAAAGGTTCTGATTAGCTCTCAAAAAACATACGAAACTATTGCTTTTTCGAAACTATTAGAGGTTAGTATTTTAAGTTCTCGTGCAAAGAAAGTGAACCACAAACCTATTGCTATTCAAATGGATTAGATGTTCAGTATAGTAATTCATTTCAGTCAATGTTTGTCTTTTAGCGAAACGATGCATGTGTAGAGTAAAAACATATAATTTTATCATTCATTTTATTTTATTTTTGTACTTAACTAAAATTGGTAATTTATTTAATATCTACTGAAAGTGACCACAATTACAGTGGTCTAATACTTTTAGGGCAAAATATTAGTTGTCGCTACATCAAAGATATAAAGAAGTGTATAATGTGCGAAATCATTAATGCGATTATCATTAAAAGTTTAATTTCTATTGCTTACAGGTGTTTTGATCTTACTGAGTTTGGTAACTTGGTTCATATTTTTGTTTATTATTTAACACATGTGTGGTCGCCTTGTTTCTAAATATGAAGTGTTTTCTTCATTCGACACGGAAGAAACTGTAAATATGACAAACAAAACCAAACAATAAAAACTGACCGCAGCGTCAATACGATTAAGATATTACTTTTTTCTTTTCTCCGTTCTCTCTGATAGTATTTTATATGTATTTAGAAACGGAAGTATCTCTTTCTCGGAAAGGAAATAAAATTACATAACACCGGAGGATATGTAATGTAAAAATTATTTTGTAAGATTACTTTCAATATATGTTTATTTATTTATGCATTCCGCATTCCTTCATCTGCATGTCGCATTTTAAGCGGGTGCAATACTGTTATGGTAAATAGTTGCTATAAAAATTGGTATATTATTAGTATAACAATGTTCATCACAAAGACTATACGGTACACCACTACAGACTACAATACGGGGTGAAGTTTAAAAATTATCATAACAATTTAAATCTAAAAAATTGGGCCATACCTTAAATGTTATCACATTAGTGCATAAAATCTCAAAGTCGAATAGAATAGTAAGGCGAAGTTAAAAACACTTAATTAAGCAGCATCAGTAATGGTTCAATAAAATACACTTACTTTAAAAACTTCAGTAACGGTTCAATAAAATACACTTACTTTAAAAACTTCAGTAAGGTTCAATAAAATACACTTGTTTTAAAAACTTCAGTAACGGTTCAATAAAATACACTTACTTTAGCAGCTTCAATAACGGTTCAGTAAAAATAAACTTACTTTAGCAGCCTTGACCGTTCAATAAAAATACATTTACTTTAGCAGCTTCAGTAACGGCTCAGTAAAAATATATTTACTTCAGTAGCTTCAGTAACTGTTCAGTAAAATCAACAATTTCTCTCTCGAGTTCTGGATTACAAACAAGCCTGCGGTTCTTAATTATGTCAGTTTAATAACTGAGATAAATCAAAAGAATGTATTTACAGTTGTCAATATGTAAGTAATCGACGGGACAGTTATATCGTCGTTCTGTCTGCTCTTTATCTGCTTAAAATAATAACAGAAAAGTTGAATTTTCTTATTGAACATCTACTGATGATTGCTTTTATTTTCACATGCAGGTGGTTTTGACATAGTAGTTAGCAATTGCTTTGCTCATAATGGAGGACAAAATAGGATTCGTTTAGTGGGTAAAGACGGGTGAGTTTTTCTTTCATTACCTGGTATCTTTTTTTCTCATAATGTGTGTGCTCTCGGTAGCTTATCGGTAAGACCGAGGGCTTGTAACGCCAAAAATCGGATTTCGATACCCGCCGGTGGGCAGAGCATCAATAACTGCACTTAAACAACAAGTTCTCATAATGTGAGGTAATTAATCTCAAAGTTGGAGTTCCACAATGAAAGCTCAGTTTTATCGTAGTATATAATCATTATTTATCGTTTTGATTCTCAAGTGTTGAAAATCGTGGTCGGTACAAAATGTGTAAAAATCGCGTGTAAAAGATACAACTATTGATTTTAATATTGAATTATAGATTGTAGGCTGTTAATCTTGCTACTTTAAAATCAACCAGAAACAGCAGCAACTTGTTCATTTTAATTCGGAACGACAAAAAAAAAAAAAAATACAATTTTATTCATATTTTGATTTGTGACGCCATTTGAAGGCCTATACACTGTCATACAATTTGTTGGTATATGTTTATAGTTTATTAAACGTAGGTTCTTTAATTTTTACTTTAAATACAGCATGACTAATTCAGATATTTTGTATAATTTAAAACTGAGTATATATTCACACTTTTATCTATTTACTAATACATAAACGCGTCAAATAATACAAAACTAGATCAAAATAACTTTTTTTTTTATTTGCGAATGTTGTGGCAGTCTTGGTTGGCATATGAGATCTTTGTCGTAATTTCATCTTCACTTTTAAATTCGGTTAGTTATTCTGAATGTTTACCACGTTCATTTCCAGTACACGTATAAGAATTGAATGTAATTAATTTATCAGTTTAAACTTTGATTTGTGGCATTTCTTTCATCACAATTTTTTCACAACATACTTTACCAATTTTCAGGATTATACGCCCATTTAACATTTTGTATTTATCATTCTATCCAATCGTTATGTACAAAAGTTAGGTATAATGAAATATTTTGTTCAATGGTGTTTTTTGGATGACTGTTTGAAACTTTTTATAGGCATTGTTACATTATATTACATTAACGTGTATTTTACAAAATTGTTTATCGAAGCTGCTCCTCAGTGGCTCAGCGGCAAGTTTGAAAGTATAAAATACTAAAAACCGGGGTTTGATACCGGTGGTGAGCACAGCACAAATGGGCAGTTGCGTAGCTTTGTGCTTAATATAAAGCAAGCAAAATTATCTAAGTTATTATTTTACCTGTAGCTGTTAAAGTTTCAATTATAGTATGTAACCATATTGCTCTTATTAATAGCCTCTGATTTAACTGTTATTTAAGTATGCAGTATTTTATTAAGACAAACTACACCATATAATTCGCAAGTTATTAAACTCAAAAGTTTTGTAATTTTTCTACCAATGTTAGACATCAATATAATCTGACCCAATTGACCTCAGTCTTCCAAAATCGATCACAAGTTCAAAATTTAACAGCAAAGTTCTGCCCCCCTCCCGGTGACACAGCGGTATGTCCGTGGACTTACAACGCTAGAAACCGGGTTTTGATATCCGTGGTGGGCAGAGCACAGACAGCCCATTGTGTAGCTTTGTGCTTAATTACAAACAAAACAAACAGTAAAGTTCTATATTTGAACCTAGAAAATGTAACGCCATGTAACACTCGCATCCAGGCCTGCCGCCAGGTTTTCTTTCAGACTTATAATGGGCGTCTCTAAATCTTAGTTCAATTTTATAATGATTATAATAATGGCAATATATATTTTAAAAAGTGAGTACAGAATTGATTAAAAACAATAATTCAATAATACGTAAAAATAGAAATATTGAAAGTTTTTGGCTTCTCGTGTAGTGCACTTTATGCACACACACTTTTCTAGCGCAAGTACTCAGTCATGCCACAGTTACTGCTAAGAGAAACCAATAAGTCGTGTAAAAGAACGACTGCAAGTTAAACAATCACTTTCTTTAAATCAATAGTCTAAAGTATTGGCTGACGCATCTCCGAGAGAGTATAGAAACTCCCAGTTTCGTTTTATGACTTTCTCAGGACTTCCTTAATTTTGAAAGACTAGACCGAAGGCAGTTAGACACACACTGCCAACTCTTGTCTAATTAAACAGTGAAATTTGACTGTCACTCGACCCTAAAGTGCGGAGCGTATTTTTGCGGCAACAAGCTGCGAACCATGAGCCCCCGGATTCACAATCCGAGAACGCTGAGCACTAGACTACGTTCGGCCCCGTGATTTTGATGTATTTTTAACATTGTTAAAATGATGTGTATTGTTTTGTTGTTGACAATGCAAGGTTCGGTATACTAATGAGGAGCTGATGTTTCTCACTTTTATTTCTCTATTTTTGTCCAGGCTGTGTCTTTAGTAAACGTTACTTGCTAATAGACGGGGGGAAAATCCTGGGATGGGGGAGTTAATGCAGGCTTTTTTCGTTTATTTTTTGTAATAAATTATAAAATTCGATTATGAAGTTAGATTGTCCTTTGTTGACAGGTGTGTAGTTAATGAAAAACTTCTTTCGCCATTTCGTGGACAAACTAGTGGAGATAGTGGAGAGGAAGTGACTTTGTTCGCTTACTTTAAAGCATTTCGGTTTACCGGAAGTCCAGCACTTTACTTGGAATGTGACATACACATGTGCCATGGAACATGTCCGGTAAGATACATTTTCAAATATCTTCACTTATTATGCTCTCGTGTACCAAGTACCCTTACTAATACGTTCCAGTTTATAAAAATATACTCGGTAAACATTATATATGTCGTACCGAACTGTGTGCTGTTAGTTTCAGTTTTGGTTTTTCAAAACATCCATGTTTATTGCTTTACTTATTTTTTATCTTTCACTGTAAAATATTTTGTAAATATTTGTAACTGCTATAGTTTCATTACCTCGTGCATAATACATATTTAATTAAGGATCTGATAAGAAAACAATAACAATAGATTATGATTACAGCCACTTGGTGCTACTTGTAATAGGATAGCATTTTGAGGGTAGAAATTTCATTCGTGTGTGTACTTAGTTTCATGATAAACAAAATGACAGTACTGTATGTTTTTGTTTTACTTTCGAGAATAGTTGAAAGAAATATCAAGCTTTCTAATCTGTATTGAGTTAACTCAATACGTTTATCACAGCCAAGACTCAATCGGGAATTCCTTTTAAGAAATATTTTATTGAATTTAGTGTACACACGTGAGTGCAAGTGTTAATAGAATAAATACATTTTTGTGTTTTTGTTATATTTGTATTGAAGGAGAATAAAATATTAAGGTTAAATACTGGCTATAATTTTATTTCCCTTAAACAAATCAGTATTTCTAAATATTTGTTTCAGCATCAGCAATGTTACTGGCGATCAAGAATAAGACGTTTTCTCGAGAAAAGAGAATCAGAAAGCGGCAATCCTGTAATATCAGAGAGTGTGAATCTCTATCAGACTCTTGAAGTGCGACAGGCAGATGAAGCAGATGCCTCAAATAGGCAACCAAACAAAGGTAACTCTTTCTAAAATCACTAATAGAAGCTTGGATCAGAACAGCTTCTGAATATTTTTGTGTTTGTTCAGGTATTGGAAACATAAATTAATATCAACCAGAGACGAAAGCTAGATATGTATTTAGTGTGAAAATAAAATTAACATAGCCACCAGTATACCGAATTAAATATACCTTTCTTACGTTTCTACTTATAAAGATGCGTTGTTTTATCAGCTGTGTAGCCTCGCTGTTAACGATATGTTATAGCGGTCTATGAAACGAACCAAAGCTAAATTATTACAAAGTGAAGTAAAAGTTAAGTTATAATGAAGGCAAACTTCGCTGAATATGCAGAAACGTCTGAATGTGTTTTCATAATGTGATAAGTACATGGTTTTGAACGAACTGCACATGGTATTTTAGAAGTAAATAAGTCGAGAAAGCCTATAGAAATTGTATTTAGTGTAATGTTCGTTTTTAGGAAGTTACACGCAGGTTAAAGGTTGTTTGTGTGAAATATATTGCAAATAAAGAAACTAAAGTTGAAATCGAAGCCAGTGGTCACGTGATGACAAAGACATTGTGCCATCGTGTAGCATACTTGTTGCATTGAAAAGTTTGACTGAGCAAAAAACAAGTAAGATGGTTCTGAATTGAAAAGCTAATATGCAATCTGGACTCCTCGGACAAAAAAGGCCTTTCTAACTATATGAGATTTGTAGCAGTTGATCAAGAAATTTGCGAGAAAAGTTAAGATAAACGTAAGCGTATTATTTATATAAATTGTCTTTCGATATTAATTAAAAGCATATAAATAATTAATTTGATATATGTCACCACTTTTTTTGCACCACTCTTGTTTTTTAGAATTGATTTCACGGTTTTCCCGAACTACTTTATTGTTATTTAATTTTGAAAGTTTAAAAATTAACATATGTATATTCTCTTATCTCTCGTAGGACGATTACTCGATGAGAATGCTGTGTGTTTTAGAACTGCAGAATTCGCAACAATGATAACCATACTGTTGACCACTGTTATACTAGCAGTTGGTATCTCACTTACCATGTGTTTCCGCATGCGTAAGATGTCCAAACACAACACGAAAGCTCCTCTGGGAGCGAAAGATAATTACGTTTCTAAATCTAAAACTTCATTTTAACAGTTCAATGGATAAGTGTTTAATTGATTCTGGTTCGTAAGGAGTTCACTATACGAGTCTCAGAGTTCTCCTTAATTAAGACTATCTGAAAGTCTGATGGTTTAATTCTTCATTAACGCTATATTGGTAAAGGTTTAATAATTTAATTAATATCTGTATAATAACTTATCATTTATAAATAAATTTTGAAGAACAAAACCATAACATGGACTTTTATTATATCTTCATAACTACGCATGATTATTTTTATGAATATCAGGCACATTTGTTTTTTTAATGCTTTGATACTTTTCGATATTCAAGACAGTAACTTTAATATTTTATTTTACGAAAGAGTAACCGTTGGTTGCTCCATGTTTCAGATTTAATAATGACATGTAAAATTAACTAAGGGGTAATTTATAATACTTTCATTGAAGTAATATACAATAATGACAACGAAATAAAAGTAACAAAGTAAAACCAACAGATACACAATTTTCCAAAGTATGTGTACCGAAACTTACAAACTTTGATTATGTTAAACTTCTATTTATTTCGAATACTATAAATAGAAAATTTAAATGCGACATTTTTTCATTAACCAAGTCCTCACTATTAAGTTAAGTGAAATAAAAATAAATTTTCTATAATTTTTATGATTTATTATTATCAATTAACGTTGATAGAAAATAATACAATTCCATGATCTACTTAGATTGAATAATTGAGTTGTATCTGCTGTCTAAATTATTATTATATATCTAAAACAAGTGCTATGTAAAACTGAATAAACTACAGTTCTTCTGAATTTTCTTGTGAACCCTAGTTAACGTTCTTTAAAGGATTTTTCCGTATTTACTGGTATTTCAAAGTAAGTGTTTTAATAGTAATGCTATTTCTGTTTACCTACTTGATCTGCCAGTGAACACAGTGTTGTACTGTTGTTTCTTACACAATAGATATACTACAGATAGTTCAAGTATTACACTTGTATAAGCCTCGGATGTAATAACTGAGAGAAGTAGGAACCAGATTAATCTTTCTACAGCATTACAAACGCATGAAATGAGTATTTAAGGTTAAGAAAACATACGGTATAAACATTAAATGTATCCAATGTCACACACGCATAAATGGAGATATGAGGATTATGATGTATTGGAGATATGAGGATTATGATGTATTGGAGATATGAGGATTACAATGTATTGGAGATATGAAGATTATAATGTATAGGGAACAAAATTCCTTATCTCTTCAACGATTAGATAGTATAAACAAGAATTAAAGCAAGCGAGACTAAAGAACAGACCACGCACTTCTACGATATTTTACAATCATAAGGATGAGATACAATCATACTGAGGGGGCACGTAACAAACTAAACACACTTGCATAGATGAAATAGAATTCTAAGGAGAAGAGGATACAAAATAAAGATTATAGCTCTCCACAGTAATAAAATATCCAAACTAAGGGATTGGAAGGATGTGTTCTGGAATGTCAGGCATGCATAGATTGGAGTTTTAAAGACAAATATATAGGGAATATTCTACAGGGTTCGCGAGAGTTATTCATGCACAAATTAAATATATATATGAGCTACACACATATTTCTCTAAACATTACCTATATACACAAGATGAAGCCTTTTACGCACGGAAAGATGCTCGGAATGAGATGTTTTCAAGCTATGTATAGGATAAATATTTAACGACGTAGGGGGATGAACTGCATGTTTCTCTTGCGTTGCTCGTGCACAAGTTTGAGAGAATTTAAAACGGTTAGACATACAAAGCATAAACTACATGTTTCAATAGCGTCATCAGTGCGCAAAGTGGAAATTCAAGGACTAAGAAATACAAGAGCTAAATAATACGCTTCTCCAGTAACTTAAATGCTAAATGTTTAAGATAAAGATTTAAGAGCAGAAAGATACGAAGAATTAAATACGCGAAACTACATTGTGGCCTGCAAAAAAAAAATCGAGAGGTGAGAATGGGTATTTAAAAGGCGGAAGAATTAAATGGATTATGTAAATGTTGTTGACGTTTCGAGCCGAAACCCTTCTTCAAAAAACTTTAATCTCAAAAACACGAAACGGCCTTACAGCGTTCTATATATGTTCGTTATCAAGCATGCAGGAGGCGTCTCTAAAAACATTGTTGGAAATTGTTCCCGGTGGAACAGCGATAAGTTTACGGACTTACAACGCTAAAATCTGGGATTCGATTCCTCGCGGTGAACACAGCAGATAGCCCAATGTGGCTTTGCTCTAAAAACAAACAAGTTGAAAATGATAATAATAAATAATATAAGTAAAAGAACAATAATTTTTCATTTAGGGGATAAAGTACCTGTATTGAAAATAAAACGTTTGTCTCATGCTCAAATAGTATTATTCTTGCCAACTTATCGCTCTTCATGGTATGTACGGCAGTGACCTTGTGATGTGAGTTTTTACAGACTTCGCTTGTACGGATTTTGTGAAAAAGATCTTGCGGTAACTATTCGTCAAGCTCCCCCCCCCCCCAGTGGTGCAGCTGTATGTCTGCGAACTTACAACGCTAGAATCCTGGTTTCGATACCCGTGACACAAATAGCCCATTGTGTAGCTTCGTGCTTAATTACAAACAAACAAACAAGCTATTCGTCAAAAGGTCTAAACTCTGTCAACTAGGCCTACCTTCAAATCGACGTTTTAGTATAACTTTGCCACTAGATACCAATTGTGTTCATAAGGGCAATTAAGTTGCCACTATCCCTGCAGATTTGAAAATTTTAAAAACTGAAATTTCAGTCTTAAGCAAAGACCTGTCCTTTGCCTTTACCAAAACATTATTGGGGAGAAACTTACGGTATAAAAGTTAAATTCATCCAATGTCACACACGGATGAATTTACTTTCCATGAAAGCATTTTACGGTTTTTCCGAAAGATTGGCTTATAAATCCACTTCAATTATAGCAACAAGAATACCAATTTTGACCACTCAAACAGTAACGATGAGCCCCACTTCCATAATAGCTACAAGAATACCAATTTTGACTACTCAAACAGTAATGACGAGGCCCCACTTCTATAATAGCAACAAGTATACCAATTTTGACCACTCAAACAGTAACGACGAGGCCCCACTTCCATAATAGCAACTAAAATACCAGTGTTGACCATTCAAACAGCAACGATGAGCCCCACTTCTATAATAGCAACAATAATACCAATGTTGACCACTCAATCAACAACGATGAGACCCCACTTCCACAATAGTAACAAGAATACCAATTTTGACTATTCAAACAGCAACGACGAGCCCCATCCAAATCTTCTTCTTCTTTTCAGCCACAGTTAATATATAAACTTCCAAGGTACTAGAAACGCTCCAAAAGAAACCAAGTAAATATAATCCAACTGTGGGAACATTCCCGGCAGTCGACTAGTTATATCCACTTTCCATGAACTGATAAGCTCTATCAACTCCACAGCTCCAATACTCAATCCCTCCACAGAAGAACGGAAGGCTATCAATATCTTTAGAGATCGTGATGACATTATGATAAAGCCAGCAGATAAAGAAGGAGCCACTGTCGTCTTGAGAAAAAGATCTGTGCGTATCTGAAGCTGAGAAGAAACTGTCTGACCTTCTATTTTACGAATCTGTCTCTGATACTGATATTATTAAAATCATACAGTCTTAAGTACAAATATGCGTAACTGACTTAATCAGCAATAATCTCCTTTCCTCTGAAGCTTATAGTCTTATGTTACCTAACCCTATGTTGCCTCTTTTTTATCTATTCCTCAAAATACACAAACCCAACAACCCAAATAGACCCATTGTTTCCACTAGTAACTGCCCGACCGAAAACATTTCAAGGTTTGTAAACAGCTATTTTCCCCTTACTGTTCAGATACTTCCTAATTTCATTAAAGGCTGTTCCCTTGTACTTCAAAAACTTGACACCTTTCGCTTCTCTTCTACCCCTGGGATTTTGCTCACTGCTGATACTGTCAGTTTTATGCATTATAATTCCACACAGTAAAGCAATTAAATTCTTCCTTGACAAAAGACCACAAAAAAGATCCTTCTTCAGCCACGATCTTTCGTCTTACAGAATTGATTTTGAATGTGAATTATTTTTCTTTCAAAACAACAACAACAACATACAAACAGAGCTATGGAGTTACAGTGAAAACAAAAATGTGACCTTCCTACGAAAATTTCTTTGTTGGGTGCGTTGAACATCATCTATTCGGCCAGTTTCAGGAGGCCCTTCCTCAATTCTACTGTACATTTCAGGAGACCCTTCGTCAATTCTACTGTACATGTATTGACGTTACCTCAGATGAACCCTCGTTGAATTAATTTATTACTTTCCTTTCCAACTTTCACCCCTGTTTGAACTTCACATGGCATGTTTCTCAACAGACCGTTTCTTTCCTCAACATTGACGTCACTATTGAAAATGACCATTTAGCAGCATTGATACACTATAGACTCACACCCGTACTTACGTTAAGACCCCTGTCACACTAAGTCTACCCTATGTTCCATCCCTTATTGTCAATTCCTTCGTGTCAGTCGACTGTGCTGTAATGACAAAGGTTTTTTAATAAATCTGATGAATGAGTTGTTTCTTTCTCTAAACGTGGTTATCCTACCTTTATAATTATTAACACCTGTCATAAAGCCGAAACTTTTCATCGAAGTAACAAGAACAGCACTAACTATATCCCTTCTGTAATACCCTATCATTCTACAGATTAAAAAAACATCTTGAAAATTTTTATATTTTACAGAACGACCCTATAACAAAGGATATTCTCCCTACAAGACCTACTGTTGCCTACTGTTGCCCTCATAACCCACTCCTCCATGATATCCTTGTATATTTTCTTTTATGTAGATTATTTATAATCATTTCCAACAATATATAGAAGCTTCCTTTATAATTTTAAATGAGTACATATAGAACGCTGTACAACTATTCTGTGTTTTTGAAACTAAAGTTTTTCGAAGAAGAGCTTAGGCCCGAAATTTCAACAACATTACCATTATTTGTTGTATTATGTAGTTAATTCTTCCACCTTTCGAATATCGTAAGCACTTTTTTATTGGTTTAAAACTATTTTTCTGCGTTTTTAGTTTTCAACAAAGTAAGAATGGGTAGACAAAGGAGTTAAACTACGTGTTATTTCAGCGTCCTCCGTACCCTAGATGGAGTAGAACGATCGGTTAAACAAACGGAGTAAACAACGTGATACTTCAGCGTCATTGGTACCCTAGATGGAGTAGAACGATCGGTT